ATTCTAATTTTTTCTTAAATTAAGTTTGAATTAAGTCTTAAGTTTAGATTTAATTTTTATTGCAATGTTGTTGTTGTTATTTTTATTGTCCAAATTATCATAGTCTTTATGTACACCTACATGAAATTTTTTTTTAGACAAAGGAGGTCTCATTTAAAAGGATTTGATGATCTCCACACACTAGTGCAATCTATTTTGACAATTGATGCTTCATTGACAATTTTTTTTTATAGGACCAAACTTTCATGCATAAAAACATGAGGTTCAAAATTTCAAGTAAAATTGGTGTCAAATCGTCACCAAACTTGCTTTGCATTTTTTCAACATAGTAATGATCATGATGTTGGTTTTGGAATAAAATTCCAAAAATTTCAATGAGCTACAAGCACTATGATAATTTTGGGTTCATTTCGATTAAGTTAAATTTTGATTCATTTTTTTTTAGTTTAAGTTGATTGAAATAGTATTGACATTTTAATTTTGGTTTGAGTAAAAATAGATTTATATTAAAATTGAGTTAATTTTAATCTTAAGCTCAAGTGAAGCCTAATTCCTGGCTAAGTCGAGCTCAACCCAGACATAATGTATAACAAAATTTGGATATGAATGAAGAGATGGAGTGGACAATAAATGAGATCAAAATTTGATTTGATTTGATATAAAACCATGCCTATAGTAGGCCTTCCTCCTTAACATCATTCCAACTTGTCAGAGCAAATCATTTGTAGTACTTTTTTTACCAGCGACTAATAGCTTTATGTATTAGGAAACATGGCTTGATAATTTACAAAATTATATAAACTTTGAAAATTAATTCAAATAAAATATAATCTATAAAAATTATAAAAAAAAAACTACAGGAGACTAAAATTAACAAAGCTCAATATTTTAAAAATAAAATTTATATCAAAATATTTTTGATACACTATTCATCAAATAAATAAAATATTTGATGAATAATTAAACTAAAATACATAAATATCTAATTTTCAAATTTTGTCTAAAATATTTTCATGCTATATGAAGACTATTGTAAATTTTTCAACAAAATTTGAACATATTAAAGTCGATATTGAGCCTTCTAAACTAATAAATTAAAAATATAAATATAATTTAAAATATTAAATGGTAAAATACCACCAATATGGTCACATAAACACTTTTAGGTCTTTTCTGACCTAGAATAGTAGAACGCACTATTCATTGGTTTACTTCAATAGAATATGATTTGCAGAAATCTAGTGCAAATTATTCTAATCATTAATATGAGAACCAAAATAATTAAATTATAAGAAAATATTGAGCATTTAAAACCATAAATATTTTACAGAAGCTTTGGGATGACTTTGCAAGGCTCTCTGTAAAATATTATACATTTTTAAATTAATTGTAATATTTAAATTTTTTTATAAGTCAAAGTTATTAAAAAAAATTAAGAAATGAAAATTAACGTATAAATAATTAAATTTTCTGTGCAATATCACCTTAATCAGAATTATATTAAACTTTAAATTTATTTTTTTTATAATTTTCAATTTTCTTCCTAAAGTAATTAATAAATAACTAAAAATTATTTTAAATTACACAAAATTTTCTTAAAATCTTTAAAAATCTTAAGAAATAATTATTTACAAATTAGAAAAAGTTAACCCCCTTAAATTAATTTTTAAACCCTAAAAATTAAAAAATTCATGATATTTCAAATTAGATTAAAAAATATTTATATTTTAACCATTAGATTATAATAAGATAGAAAACTCAAGAAATTATAAATTTTTTTTATTTTTAATAAAGAGAGCTTTTATAATTATTGCACTAAAATAATTCATTTATTTCAAAAAATTATCATAAGCTTGAAAGTCTTGCCAAATTTTTACTGAACTGCTTGCTACTTTTCCAAGTCTCTCGTTAAACTTTAAAATTGAAACTAATTTTAAAGTTAAAATTTAAACTTTAAAATTGAAACTAATTTTAAAGTTTAAAATTATTTAAAATTTAAAACGAATAATAAACTCTTAAAAGTTCAATTACTCAAAGTTGACTCGAGATTTAATGAGATATTGTTTTACTGGCCTACGACTTAAGGGAATATTTCTATAGTATTAAGATATATTTTATTAGTTTGATGTTTATCTTAAAATTTTAACAATAAAATTTAATCAAGTATAAATTATTCAAAATTTTATGAAATTTCTCAAGGAATGTCATAGGCCTTAGGAAATAATTTCAAAAGGTTTTAAGCTCATTAATCTATAGGAGGTTGTCTAGTGTGTCTAGCTTGTTAGAAGGCTCCTCAATGAGGCTTCAAATGCTAATGAGTCTGTTATCCACATAAGGAACTGTGAGAGACTCACTCTCCGCCCATGGCTTAGTAGGAGATTTGAAAGCATTGGGACATTCCCCTATGAGATAACCATCCTTTGATAGCCTTGTGCTAGTCGTCACTACAAATGTAAGCAATACTCCTTTGGATCATGAGTATTCTTGGGCAACCCCCAAGATGTAGTTAACTAAGTGGGATATATTCCATTGGGAGCACTCTAGACCCTAGAATAGTCAAACACACATGAATCTTTGTTTTTGGTAGTCAACATAGGTATTCTTCAATAGATACTAGTCTAAGTTTCTGCTGTCTGATCTTGTTTGGGCGAACATACTTGACCTATCCTTGCAATGTTTATCACACGTAAGCTCTCACGTTCTTTCTCTAGTTTGTCATTTTTTGTCGTATGCCCATTTTTTTCTGGTTTCTCTCCTCCTGAATGTACATAATATCAAGAAAAGAGATATATTCGGAATAGAGAAGTATATAATAATCCAAAGACTGGTGACTCCATTTAAAAATAAAGCAAAAAGAGAAAAGAACAAAAACATTGATATATGTAATCAACATTTGAATTGAAAATAAACATATTAGTGAGAATACTAAAATGTTAAAACTATTTAGTTCAGCGAGAGTTTATTTTATGAAGTAATTATAAGTCACTGATGTTTTTATAATTAAAAAAAACACTTAACTTGTTGCACATATGATGGATAATTTTAATGAAAAAAGTTTGCTTCATCTTTAGACATAAAACTAACAAATACACTAAAGTAGCATCTGAGCTAATTTGTTGGTTCTGATAAACTAATGATCACCAGAATTTAATCCACTAAGGAGTAGTGTGTTGATGATGATGATATCACAAATCCCAGGAAGTGTTATACTGCCAAAGCACATATTCCTCACAACTACTTTAGACAAGGATTTCTTTTTAAATTTAAATAACTATGCATTCCTAAAAATTTCTTTATGCATACTTAATAATATATATGCATTTTGAAGGAATAGTTTCCCACACAAATCGAGTTAAAATTGTAGCCCAGTTGGCAACTTTTTTCTTTTGGCTTAAGCTTCACCAAAATGTTTGTTGATTCGCAGGATATTATGAAACCTACCAAACTAACAAAAGGCAACCAAAAAGCAAAAGCTCTTACATTTTGCCAAATCATGATATAATTTGGGAGGACTTGAGCCAATTTGTGTCAATATTGGGTGCCTTTAAGGTTGCCAAAATATATTTTAGAGTTTTCGTCCGACTACATGGGCTTCATAGAAGTTTCACTCTATATATAGATGTCAAAATCATGAGTTACTTGTGGCAAGTATTGTGGAAAATATTATACAAATAACACAAAATGAGCACAACCAACCATCTCCATATGCTAGGAAAAGCCTTAGTGGTGAACTAGACCCTTAAAAACATGATTAGTGTTTAGTAGGAGAGCAAATAAAATAATGGGATGAAGTCCTTCTTCATGATAAGCACTATTACAACTCTATGTCAAATTGCTCAAATGAGAGATCTTTATTCAATACTGTTTACAAGGCACCAAATCATATTGTTGAACTTGCTGATCTACTAAAAGTACACAACAAAGAATACGAACAAAATGTTATAGACTTCAACTTCGTGCTTCAGAATGTTAAGAACTATCTTTCACAAGTGCTCAACACTATAAGCACAAAACAACACAAAATGATTGTTTAAAGCATTCAATGTGGGTGACCTTTTCAAGTTTTATTCATGAAATGAATGTTGTCAAATCGACACGTATTCCAAATTGAATACATGCAAACTTCGTACATTCCTTAAGCCCAGAAGATAAATAATAATGCATCATTTCTCTACCTCGTAAATTGAAATATCTCTAACATGAAACATATTTGATAATTATGAATACCACCTGCTTGATGATATTCCAGTTCATTAACTCAGGTCGAGTCGTTATGAAGCAAAAAGAATATCGTGTAGCATGGCATGCTATGACACAATACACTTTTCAATATACAGCACCTAACTAATCTTATTCAACTTGATTATGTTGATTTTATCAAAGATTTAAGTGGTTATGATTAGTTAGCCAATTACACCTAAATATAAGTAGATAGTGGGATCTGTACTAGAAAGCTTTTTTATAGCTATTAGTGGTTTTATCCTTGGAAGAATGTAACTATAAAAAATTATTTTGTCTTGTCTTTTATTCTTCTTGGTTTGCCCTGGGTTACACCCTTTCTTCTTTCCAATTTATTATGTGCTTGATGTCATATTCTTCCAGTTTAATTCAAGACTGTACATTAAGGTTGTAATTTTTTCAAAAGGCCTTTTATTCATTTGATGATCGATTTATTAGAGATATTCTAACATGACAATGTGGTTTGTGCTAGGAGTCTTAGTTTTCCAACTTAAAGAGAAGCGGGCTTGTCGAAAAGATTTTTTGCCCAAAGATTTGATTTACCTTTTTTTTCCTCTACAATATAGGAGTTAGCGAAATTCAAGAAGAAGAGAACACAAATGCTAAATTTAGACCAATTGTAATTAAGCCATGATACATCAATTTCTATTGTCTCATACCTTTTTCTTTTCTTTCTTTTTTTTTTTTGTTTTTTTGCAATTTAGTAATCAAATGTTAATTTTTGCATTGTATTTATTCTCATACACTAACCCTCGTATAACTTCAGAGATTGGCTTGAAAGCCAAATTCACATTCTCACTATAACATTGAGTTGTAACTTGCAACGCAGCGCAAAGTCAATTCCCTCACTTATTTAAAATCCAACATCATGACTCAGTTCCTCCTATACCATTTTTACTCCTAAATCAAAAGTAAATTCCAATTTTTTTATGAATTGGAAATAAAGTGCAAGCCAAACACTAAGCTAGTTCCGAAATTTTAGTTGCCCAATTGTTGCAGAACTTTAGCATCCATGTTTTCATCTCCTATAATGCTGAAACATGTTCAATGAAAAAACAATTCCTGCACTACATACGGAATTAATAACTTCCGAGGCTAGTTTTGTTGGCGTGTTTACTAGAGTTTTCCTTCTAGCATCACACCTGAAGCATAAGCATTCTTACATAATCTGAACTTTCTTTACAGGACAAAAGCCATCAGACTGAAAGGTCCCATTAATTCTAAAATTCCACAACTTCCCTTTTGCAGAAACTAAGTTATCATGACAGAGGAATTCCCAAGAAAACCACTTCTCAATCATCCTATCCACATCATGCACGACCACATCAGTCCCACTTCCCATCCTCGCTATTACGGCCGCCGTGTAGATTGCAGCCATTCTACCCGGCGCATCTGGCCAGTTTCCCCTAGGCCCATCGACCACAACAACATCCCATTTCCTTCGATAAACCTCCTGCGGAAGGCAGCTCAATGCCAGTCTGCATCTCGTCTCACCGAAAAATTTACTAGTTTTGCGACCGCAATCTGGTTCCTCTCTTCCATGCCGGAGCAGCTCATAAGCTCCGCCAGCCACTTCATTATATCTGACCATATGAACTGTAACATTTCTATATGTTGTTCTAAGGCGAAATCTTTGAATCCTTTCAGCATCATCTTCCAGGAAGATCACTGAGCCGCCAGTGGTAGCTTCCGCAAGGGGGAGAAATTGCGGGTTGAGGCCAAAGAAGAGGAGGTTGCGGTTTTGATTCCGGGTTATAATGTTTGAGAGAAAGTCGAGCTCTTTGGGTGTGAATGGCTCCTCTTCTTGGAAGGTAGCTTGATTCGTGAGTTTGTGAGGCACAAATGGTGAGTATTTGGGGGTGCGGGGGATTTTTGCTAGGCGCATGGAGGGGCTTCTTGTGGTGGTGATTCTGATTTTGAGAAAGTTGAAGATGTAGAAGGTGGATGAGATGAAGATGAGAAGGAAGAAAAGTTTTCTCTTTGATGACATCTGTGCCTGATTGGTTCGATTCTCATGTGGTTGGGTCACAGGAAATGATTTCTTGTAGCAGCTTTAGTTGTTATTTTGGTTGGCTTGATGCTGAAAAGAGATGATGGCGTGCGGATTAGGTGTCTTATTATTATGGTAGGAGGCCAGTGGCATCCATTTGTTGGAGATTAGAATATCATTTTGGTGGTTGGATGGGCTTCTATTATTAGTTGTGGGTGTTAGTTCAGGAATTTTGATTGAGGTTGAAGAATTGGAGGAAAGTGGATGCGATTGAGCTATCTGGGAAGGTAGGAAGAAGTTTCTGCTGTAATTGCTGCTGCATTGTTTTTTCTATCTTTTCCCTTTTTTTTTCACATTTTAATATTTTTTTTATTTAATTTTTTTTAATTCTCTAGAAAATATATTACATCAGTACTACGCACGTAGAGTAACGTGTGTAGCCAATGAAATCACGTCACGACACTCCGTGCGATAGAGAGAAAAAAACGGTGCAGTAACACGAAGAATATTATCCCCCGTGTTATTCATGTGTTATTATGTGTTATTCATGTGTTATTGTGTCATGAGAATATTTCTGGTGTTATAATAACACAATAACACATCAACAAGACATGAATAACACATGAATAACATGCAATAACACATGAATAACATGCAATAACACATGAATAACACGGGGGAGAATATTCCCCCGTGTTATTGCGCCGTTTTTTCTCTGTCGGGAATATTCTCCGTGTTATTCATGTGTTATTGTGTGTTATTTATGTGTAACTTCTACGTGCGTAATACTGATGTAATATTTTTTCCTTTTTAAGGTTTATAATTATACAAACTTCACTAATAAAATCAAATAGTTCGGTTTGTAGATAATGTGCTTCTTTATATTTTTATAATCTATTTTCCTAAAGTAATATTTGTGCAGATGCGAGATGTTTGCAAAATACTTTTAACGACTAGAAAATTTTATACCGTGTTTTCTAGCTTTCAAATTTGTATACCGATATCACTTGCAAGCAAAATGAACTCACAAACACGCTTTTAAAACAGTACATGGTAAAAAAGTCTATTGCTGTAAAACAGTACACAACAACTACAGTAAGTTAATAAAAAAATAAAATTTAACTATAAATCTGTAAGGAATAGAATAATTACGTGGAGAGTTAAAGTATCACAATCAAGAAAACACAATAAACGAATTGATGAATGGCTAGAAATTCAATCTTAAGCTTCGTTGAATATAATTTCCCACCGGTTGTATGTTTTTCAAGCCTTTTGTGAGTGTTCACGTACCAACCTTCTAATCGTTCAATCTGAAACTATCCCAAAAGCACACCCATGCAATAGTGCATACGAGAGTGAGAGATGAGAAAGAGAGAGAGAAAGAAAAACAATCAAAGTTAGCTTGGATAGTTTATTAGCCATTCAATCAATAAATTAGTCCCTATTTATAGACTAGGGGGTATGATGTATACAATAACATGCATGCCCCTATTTGAAATAATGACCCTCACGAGGTAGTTTGGTCAGAAATAAATACAAATAAAATAAAAGGAGGTCTCTTACATGGCTACCTCTATATGCCAGTTGTTTGAAATAGAGCTCTGATCGGCTTATCTAAGGGACTTTGGTCAGTCAAATTATGTGTTAGCAATCTTGGTCTGGGGGGTGGCAGTCTTTGAGGTTTTTCTTGAAGATGATCTGTAGTGTTATCTCGAGGGATTAGGTAGTCCGGTCCCGGAGGGGGTCAGTGCTAGAAAAGTGATTCGTTGTTCAGTAGGATCCGTGAATTTCTTAGAGTGCCTTTGCTTTGATAAGAGATTACGTGGATTTGTGTTATTGTAACCATTGATTTCTGTTGAACCATCTTTGACTGTACTTTATTTTCTAGATCCATTGGATTCTTCTGCGAATCGTGCTGACACATTATGAGTACACATATTTTGTTCCCGGGATTCTTTTTTTTTTCCAAGAAGCCATAGTGTAATCAAAACAAGAGAAATTAAAAAAAAAAACCCAATTCATTTATGTCAAAATTAGTTCTTTAATAATGAAAAATCTTTAATTTTTGTGTCCATGGCCTTTTATAAATAGGGCACATAAGATGTTTTAATCAGTTTCATTTCTTACGAGTCTGTTGGTTTGGTCGGTCAGCTCTAAGTAACAGCGATGGCGAGCAGCAAGAGTTTCCATTAGAAGCCCTTATCAAAGAAGTGTTGAGAGAGGCCTTTGGAGTGAGTTGGCCAGGGAGTGCGAAGAAACGCTCAGAGGCTAGGAAGCTGGAGGAAAAAAGCCCGACTCAATGGGGTAAGTTGAAAGAAGTAGCTTCTTTCAAGGAAGAGGTTCATGGTTGATAGTGATGAGGTTGGATCCTCTGACTCGCTAACTCTCCAACTGGAGGAAGAAAAGGATGGGTGACCAACATATGGGTTAATTAAGACACCAAAGAAGAATTTATATTTTTCAAATTTTTATTTTATTTTCTAGAATTATTTTAGCTAAAAAATAAGGATTTTCAAAGTTAATTCATTTACTTAATTGAGAAACATCCTTGGTCCTTACAAAAAATTTAGGAGATTCAAATAGATAGAGGACTAATTAGTCCAATTTTTAGGATTTTTTTAGTTATCTTTTTATTATTATAATTTTTTTACTCAATAAATAAATAAATAAATATTTTTTATTTTGAAAATTGCCTTTCATATTTTTCTTTAATCTCTGTGACTTCAGAGAACCCAAAGAAATTAATTTCATATTTGTATGATTTTTATTCTATTTTGTATATTTTTTTAATTAAAAAATATAGGAAAATAAATTTAATTACTTAAAATATATTTTTATAATCTCAAAAAATTATGAAATATTTTTAAAGTTTTTTTCTTCAATTAGGAAGTGACTTATGTCATTTTGACACATTTTGCATTTTTTGTGATTTTTGGTATTTTTAATTAATAAATAATTAAGAAAATAGGCTAAAACTAAACTTTTGTTTATTTTTTACAACAATTTTATTTTTCTTAGATAGCTTCGGTCTTAAGGAATTCCCCAAACTAATTTTATAATTTTTTGAATTATATTTTAATTTCTATAATTATTTTAATCAAAATACTTATTTATTTAAAAAATCCATTTTACAATAAAAAATTTTTTTATGGCTTTACAATTTTTACAGGGAATTCCTAAGGTCATTTTTCGTCAACCTTGTTTATTTTGATAATTTTTTTGAGTTATTTTATCTTTTTCTTATTATCGATATTTTTCTTAATTTTAAAATAGAAAAAATGGTTTTGCATTTTTAAAATTTGACTTTTATTTTTATTAAGTTCCTCTGACCACAGTGAACCTACCAAACCAATTTTTTGTAATTTTTATTTATATTTTATTTTTTAGAATTATTTTAAGCAAAATAAGGGTGGCTTACTTTGAAAATTAGGGTTTCCAATGTTAGAGGTGTCCTTCAACTTTGAAAAAATCAGAGAACAACCATAGACATATGAGAATGAACCCTCAAAATATCATATTTTTGTGATTAATATTTAATTACTTATGATTTAAAACAATTTTAGAGTATTTAATTAATTTAAAAATAAATATTAGGAAACTAATTGTAATTTTTAGTCCAAATTGTTCCCCTCTATTCACTGAGCACACTGTACTTTTCTTTTATTTTTATCAATTTTCAACACCAAGTTATAAATTTTTAAAATTAAGGCGGTTCCAGACGAATTTTGCGCGAATTTTCAATGGGGCACTTGTTCTACAGACCTCTTGAAGTAATTCAATGCATCTAGACACTATGAATGATTCTTTTATGAAGGGATATGACTCTTGGATTAAATGACACATCTTTTGAATTCAAAAGAGTTGACTTTTTGAAAGAATTTTGGAGATAATTTTGAATTCTCTTCCAAAGGAGACAACCCAAAATAAAAGAAGAAGACTTCATTGAGTTGTAGGAGGTGGCTTTTGTGTGTGGCGTGAGTTAGAGAGAGAAAGTGGCGTGAGTTAGGGAGAGAGAGAGAAGAGGAGATTTTCTTCTAGGGTTGTAAGAGGAGGGAGAAGGTGAAAGATTTCTTCTTCATTAAGGCTTGAAGAGAACTTCTAGGGATTTGCTTGGGAATGATTGTGAGATAAGTTGTATTTTTATTTCTTTTTGTTTTGTAAATTTGTTTTTATATATGAAATTTGTGCTTTATTGTATCCTTCTCAAGATTATGAGTAGTCTTTTTTATCCTTCTCCCTACTTTGAAGATATGGTTTTGTGAAGAATAGATTTTGTTTTTCATGATTTTAAATGATAATAATTTGTGATGATTTGAACTCCAATTTTCATTTACTTTTTGATCTGTCCAATTGAAATGTTAAAACTTATTGAGAGACATATTTTCCTAAATGAAATATGATTTTTACAACAAAAGAAGAATCACATTTGATTTCATGGGAGAGTATGTCATCCATGGAGTATGTCATCCATGGGAATGTCATCCATGGGAATGGGTGCAAATAAATAGGAAAATATATTTTGTTGGATGCAGAATTGAAGATTTTAAGATGATACGATAAAACCCTCAATTTGGTTCAGTTGATTGAAAACTAATGCAAGATTGCTAGCCCTCAGGGGACAGAGTAGTCGGAGCTCTAGAGTGGTAGTTGGTATCCTCCCAACCTAACCACAGAATTAAGGACCAAACTCTGGATTAGTCAAAGTTCTTTATAGCACTCGAAAGAGGGTAAAGAATAGAAATATATTCAAATGAATTTAATTTCTTCACAAACCATAAACTCGTTGTAATGTGGAAGGATGCTTCTTAAATTTGAACTTTTCGTCACAATAAAAACATTGTTTAATTTTTGCAATTTTACTTTTGAAAGTTTAGTATTTAGTTTAGTTTAATTACTATAGTATTGCATCTACATTTTAATTAGCATTCACCTAAGTAGTCAATTTTTAAACTTTGTACTTTACTTTTATTTTTTAGTTTTTGATATAAAATAATTTTCATAATGTATTTTAGGATTTTCCAACTTCTCTGTGGGACCAATATCTAGGACTCCGTTAGAGCCCTTTATTACTTGAGCGATACATATATTTGTGTTGATATTAAAAGAGATTTGGCAGTTTAAAAAGAGTTTTAAAAGATAAATCATTTTTATAAAAAGTATTTTTATTGGGATTATATTTGTATTATAAATCTGCCTACATTG